CTGTTTTTCTCATAGTGATACCAGTTCTCTCTGGTATCAATCTCTTGTTCATTTCTACTTGCCTGCCACTCTTCACGGAGTAAAGGAAAGAATTCATCTTGAAGTTAAAAAAAACTTCCTAAACGATCTTTAAATCCAAAAGGGAAAATTATGCTACCTTATGATTCATATTTTCTCTTCAAAAATAGAAATTGCTCAAGAAGTAAAACAGTAAGCAAACAGATTATTTAATCTGTATTCAAGCTACCTTGAACCACCATACGGGGAAATTTGGGGAGGCTTATTCATCTACCTTTCGTCTCAGAGTTCTATGACAACCTATCACGTTTGTAATGTTTTCTTAATCTGAAAACAGAGTTTGTAATACAAGTTTCAAGATATTGTAACGACTAACATTATTCTAAGATTACTCATGAAAAGTTAAATATTTAAACTGATTAGTAATTTATACTCTAAAGCTGCTCTTGAAAGAGCTTTAATACTAAATATTTAGTACCTCAGACAAAATTGAACAACGATGTGACCGTTCTGTACACAGTGAATGCCTTACCAAATTCTGTTAAATATATAGCTTTAGCCTCTGGATTATTAAAGCAAAACGGCAGCCATTTTCCTCCAGATTATTCTGCAGACAGAAAAAAAAAAAAATCAGAAGTTAAAAGCAGTAAATATATTATCTTTACCTGCTTAGAGAAGCAAAACGCATTACTGTCACTTTTACTATACTTCCAGAATCCAGGTGGATTGGAAGATCTCCGGAGAAGGAACCTCCACAGCCTCTCTTGGCAGCCTGTGCCAGGGCTCTGGTACCCTCACAGGAAAGAAGTTCTTCCTCACATGGAGATGGAACTGCCTGGGGTTCAACTTGTACCCGTTACCCCTTGTCCTGTCACTGGCCACCACCAAGGAGAGTTTGGCCCCATCCTCCCTACATTCTTCCCTCAGGAACTTATACACATTGATCAGATCCCCTCAGTCTTCTGTTCTCTAGGCTGAACAGGCCCAGCTCACTCAGTCTTTCCTCATACGATAGATGCTTCAGGCCCTTAATCATCTTTGTGGCTCTACGCTGGCCCCTCTCTAGAAGCTCCACGGCCCTCTTGTGCTGGGGAGCCCAGAACTGCCCCCAATGCTCCAGGTGCAGCCTCACCAGAGCTGAGTAGATGTCTTATTAATGTTTTTCAGAATATGTTCCCTCTCTTTTGTTGAATCATAACACTGTCTTCAAAAGGCAACTAAGGGAGAAATTTATAAACTATTGAAATTATAGCTCAAACATTTCCCTGTTGGGTATCTCTAATTCATCACAAGTTACTTCTACAGAATCCTCAACTATGTGGGTCAGTCTTATTTTAATCCAAAGATAGCTTTTAAAAATGATTTCTTCTTTCGAAGAGTGCCAAACCTAGTTTGATCCTCTCCCAAAAACTAATGCAACCTTTCTATTTCAGTGATAGATTATATTGCATCATCATGTTCCCATTGAGATTTTTTTTCCACATTTTCTGAATGTAAAATTGAATCCTTCCACCACATCCCATACTAGATGTTTTGAACAACAGTGCATTCCACCTTTTTTAATGTTTTGAGGTCTGTTCCTTTAAGGGTTTGCCTTCCCCTTTAAGCTTAGCTGATCTGCCTAATGATGGATTTAACAAAGGAGGCCACATAGATCTAGTCACGAACCCTTGTTCAAAGGCTGAAGACATCAGGAGTAGTGCAGAAATCCTTGTAGGATGATGGCAGAGACAGAGAGAGAGGCAGCCCTATGCTACAAAATACAGTTCAAGACAGCGGAGCTCCTGGTTTTCACTGAACACCACTCATAGTGAAACATAATTAAGTCTAAGATTATGGAGCATCTTTGTAGCCTGGCTGATTCCTCCCTCTTTTCTGGAAACAGAGTTTTTAGCTGCAAATTCAGCTGCAGAAGCATTTATAGAAAGCTGCCATGCAATCTGCAAGTTATGTCCTAAAGTATCCCTATAATCTGCATCTGAGAAACCTAATTTCTTAACATTAATTCTAAACCTCCTCTGTGTTTCATAACTATTATTTTCTTCCAGATTTTTCGAGAATTAAAGATAGACCTGACTAACATCTGTCACTACCATGTGTGGCAGCTGTTTGTCTTGTTTCTCTTAAAATAGTCCCCACATCCCCAGTAGTGCACTCCTAAACGAGGCACATTCAGGCACTTCTACAGTTAACCTGAACACGGCAGCTACTCTTTCTCCTTCCCTTGCATCTCTCAAGCACATTTTCTATACCTGTTGATGGTTACTATTTTCCTTTGTCAGTTCTAGGCCTTTATATCAATACTTATAGGTGCTCTTATCCCCCAGTTCAGTTTCACTGAGATTACTAGTTAATATCAGTACTTCCTGGCAAAGGGGACTTTTGCCTCAATCACTAGGCAGAATTATTGAGTATTCAAACTGAAAGCCTGAAAATGTCACCCGTTATTGCAGCAATAATTTATTTTCTGGGAAACTCAATGAACAGTACTTTGCTCCAAATTAAACTCAAAAAATAAAAAACAAACAACCTCACACACTTTCACAGGAACATCCTGATGTCAAATAAAACACTACCTTTGGCGGAGACACTTCAAGATATTTTCCTTATTACTAGTTGTCTTTTTTTGAGGTAACTCGTACAAAGTGATCTTCACCAGCAATGCTATTCCTACAGCAAACAGGGCTGAAATAAGCTAAGAGAGCCCATACAGAGGCACAGACTTTCCAAATGCAGAGAAAGATTTCCTTAAACATTGTTGTTTAACTCTTGCAGTTAGTCAGTAACTTCCAGTGCAGCTGCTGAGACCTTTGATTTTATAAGACAGAAATAAATGCCAGGTATTCGCTTCAGACCTACCCTAAACTGCACTTCCATTAAGCACCAAGACTCATTCCTACTTTCTAGTAGCAATGCTTCTAAACATGGTCATCTCTGCTGTGACTACACTGAAAAATAATTATGCAGATGAAAGAATAAAGCTCCTTGCCAGCACTCCTTGATTGGAAAACCATACACAAGAGTGAGTACCATTATCTTGGCTGCAGGTGGTTGGCACCTCCATCTTTCCTTCATTCAGGGGGATTCCGCTCACTTTTCCAAGTACAGCATTCACACCAAGCAGGTTTCACAGAGGTGGATGCCACCCTGGGGAGGAGAGGATATTCAGAGTGCAATTCTGCCAGGTGTTTCAGACCGATAACAAAGTAGAACAAAAAAAGAACGGGGGAAGGATGACAATCGTAAATATTTGAGCGAACAACAGGTTGCAAGAATAAATTAGGGATATGAACCACTCTTGAAATTCAACTACTCACCGGTGTCCCAAGGCAAACAGACCAACAAAAACTACAACATGCTTTTTTATTTCTTTACAGAATTTTCATTAGTTTACATTATTAATCCATCTGAAGTAACGAGCTATTTCATACATCATCCGTTCCATAGTTTAAGCACACTACCATGCAAAGAGAGCATTTCTTTCAAGGACTTCAGTTTGCTTTGCACAAACAGCTTAGGAAAAAGAATTATTCAATAACAATTTATGCTTTGATTCCCTTGTTACTGACATGGAATATTAAAATGAAATGATTGAGAGTTTTTACTGGATTTTCATTGAGTAAGGGCATGATTTTGCAAAGAAGGAGCTCTTGTTTCTACCATTATTTAAGTTTTCTGAAGAGTTTTTTCCGCAAAATACTGCATTCCTTCATTTCTCATCGTGAT